AGAATGCATTCCTTATAAAATTTACAGTTGCTCTGGCACATGCAGGTGGAATTTAACAGAGGAAAAAGGAATGGCCCATGCTGACTGATGAACAGCTTACTGCTGTAACATGCCAGGCAACCCAATATGCTAATTTCATTTATTTGGTGGAGAAATCATACAGCAACAAATTAGATCAGTAATCATTCTTTTGTGCTTGTTAGGCCTTATGAAAAAAACATTTATGAGAAGCCAACGTACCTGTCTGGCTTCTGCCACCGATAACCAAGAACATAACTCAAAATCAGTACTGGGAAAAAAAGCCAGCCTTCTGCAGTTTGCTCCTCCTGTAACAACTACACACCCCTTAAGCAACATAAATTTGTCTTGCTTCTTTCACCCATGATATTAGCACAGTGGATCTTTCTTGAAAATCTGTCTTTTACCACAACAAGTAAACTCCTCAACTACTCCTCCTTCCCAACCTCATTTGATCCTGACCTTTGCCACAGGACATCTATCTTGAACACAAACTCCTCTACTATCACTAAGAAAGCAAATAAGCATACTAAGCAGGTTATCCAATAATAGTTTGCATAGACAAAATCAGAGAGACACTCAAGAGAAGAAAATACAAGGTGCAGTGACACAGTAAAATCACAGCCTAAGAAAAAAGGAAATTTATTGCAAATCCTTTCTTTTTTAATTGACAGAAGCACTAACCAAGGACCATCACTATTACAGCTTTTAAACTTGAAGGTATAAACGTGCATTGTTTTTAATTCAGTTCACCCAAAGTCTGAATTACACTACACCACCTCTGCATGCAAAAATTGTCATTTTTCGCTGCAGACCAGCATCATCCAGCTCTTTGTTGCTGGAGCAAAGTGTCTCTGAGCCCAAGCCCCAGAGAACAGAAAAGTACTGGCTAAATGCCACAGAGGATGCACTGCAGCAGCACAGCAATGCCAGCAGACCTGCTGACCTAAGGCAACTCTGTTATGTATTGATATAAAAGCTCAGAGTAGAGACGTGCAGTGTCAGCAAAACCTGTGACAAGTAAAATTTTCAGTAAGACACTGCAATTTTTAGGATTTTATGGCCAGTAATGGTCAGTGCAGTCTTGACATAAAGTGCCTATCCACAGCTTTCAATACAGCTTTTCAGCTGATGGGAGAATCCTGAATGTTAGTAACTACAGTGTCATCCCTTCTAGCCTTACACAATAACAAGAAGCCTACCTGAATTCAGCTCCATACTTGCACTGAAAATATTATCAGAATTACTTGCGAGTAGGTCTTTGTGGGTCCCTTGCAAGGCAGGATAATTTGTGATTCTATTATTCTAAACCACAAATAAAAACTGGCTAACGGGTGTTAGGTTCACACTTGGACTGACCTTAAGGGTCTTTTCCAACCCAAGTAATTCTAGGAGTCTATGATTCTATGAAATATACAAATTTAGGTATTCTTGATGTTTGTGTTCTAATTCAAGATGCTTAAGTCATTGTGAATTACAACCAAACTGGAATGGATTTGCTGGACGCCTTACATGGAGTATGCATACATACAGACTGTATCTCTATATATCCTATAAAATTACATATATGTGACTACATGCACTACATATATAGTGAGTAGCTAGTATTTACATTTTTATTCTAATAGTAATATATTTATAACATATAGTAGTTAATAAATCCATAATCAGTGCAGTCCCCATCTAGAGATGCTGGATACACTCACATTTTCATCACAGGACCCCTTACATTTTAACCATATTTCTCCTATAGCTATGTCCCAGTCTCAGACTCCTCTAAGTTACAAAACTCCTTCCAGTCTGCAGATTAAATGTGCTGCTGTTGTGCCACCACTCCCCTGCAGAACCAGAACTCCCTTTCATCATATTGATAGATTAAAAACAGAACAAACTTACACAGGGCAATAAGCCCAGCTCCTTTAGAGCTCCATCAGCCTTTTCTGCTGCCTGATTCACTATGCTTGACAATGAACCAGAACCAAACACAAAAATCCAGGGAGACTGCCTTGGTACCTCCAACAATAATGTTCCTCAATGTACATAAAGTTTGTATTCAGCTGTCTTTCACAACCACACACCATTAGCAGTCCACTTTCAGTCCCCATAAACTAAAGCTTTTCTCCTCTCTAATAAACTTTCCAACTCTTCTAACCTGAAGATACTCAAAACCAAAATCTTATTACTAGTTCAGAGCTTTATACTCAGTATTATTTACAACTTATGTCAAAGCAATTGAACAGTCATCTGTTCATAATGCTGAAAGTTAAGTAATTCATTAGCAAACATGGCATTTGTAGCTAACACTAATAAATTAATTTGTCATTCAAAGCTAATATGAAATCCACAGTATTCTGTGACTAAGAAAAAAAGATGGTCAAAAGCAAATACCATGTTTAATCAAAGGCTATTTCAGCTGTACCTTTATTTGTCACACTTCCTAGACATTCTCCACCCTCATCTTTACAGAGGATTATTGTAATGATTAACACTGAACAATCCTGTGTGAGGAAGTGGGAACCATTTCACTTAACAAATGCTTAAATGAGGTAAAATTACATATAATTTCATTTGTTTTACCAAGCCTTGCTCCAAGCCATTAGCCCTTGAATACACTCCATGTATTTTACCTTTTACCTCTCATTTTCTTGTTTTTCCAAAGATAGACTGAGTTTGCACATGTCTGTGACAACCTGTTTCTAATTTTGTAAAACTGGAGGGGTAGAAAGGCGCTCAAGCTGACAGGTTTCTTTGAAATAAGGGTCCTTGCCAGAAGAGATTCCAAGTATCACTTTTAATTACACTTCAGAATGAATCAGGAGTTTTTGTACTTTTGGCAACTGCTTAACAGTGTTCACACTCTTAATATAACTGAATTTTGAAATTAGCATCCATTCAAGAAGAAAGGGTAAAATAAATACTTCTATCTGACTAAGATAGCCGTACATAAATGCAGTTTTGCAGCAGAGGTAAGACAGACCAAAATGCACCTGGGAATGCAGAGTTATTGCACCCGAGTCCTGCTGTTACAGGTAACAGGCAGCATGAAGGCATCAGACATAATTGTTTCTCAGCAGAAGACTTGAGTATGACCTCTGCTCCCAGAACTTTCCACCTTCCCCAAGGATCCGGACAGCAGATACCATTTGTTGCATCTATGAAGAATCAATCCATTTAGAAATTGCATGGGGTTTCCATGGAAAAGACCACACAAATCCTCTGGTATTAGCTCAACCTAGCTCATTTTTAAATGATATAAAAATGCAGCCTAACATGGACCGCTTCTCTTCAAGACTCCCCAACAAACCTCCTGCTTCAGAAGACAGAGCTCACACAAAATGAGCTAAACACAACTTGGCCCCTAAGAGTTCAGCGTATTTAATGTCTTGTTCTCTTAAAGCCACACACTACTACTCTTACAGACACAAAAATGATGTTCAAAGTGACTACAACATGCCCATTTGACATAAAAGGTTTCATTCCAAGCATACTACCCAGCAGCAACCCAGGGTAGCATTCCAATTCCCTATGCTAAAACTCGTGGAGCTGAAAAATGGCCAAGATACCTCATACTCAGAAGCGCATGTCACCATAAAACGCAGTTTGTCTAGTCTGGTTTTGTCTCTAATAGAGACCCTTGCTTCTCATGAAAGCCTGGATTCAGAAAGCCATGTCAAGGCAGATAGCATCTGGCTCTGCTCTTTCCCCACATTGGACTGCCTGAGGAAGCACTTACTAGACATACAATACAGAACTTTCATGCCAACAATCTCTGAGGCATTTCAGCCAAATAGTACATACCAGCTTGAATACTGTGACTGTCCTTGTGTTTCTGCTGTTTCTTTTTTCTCAGTAATTGGCTGTCTGCATATTCCTCCACACTCATTCTGCCAGGACTGACAGTACAACAGGAGACTAACAAGCTTCAGGCACTGCTTTCTTGGTAATACTAAAATGAGACCTGTGCAAGCATAATCCTGTCAAGAATTAAGACAAAGGCCTCTGGAAAGGAGCTCACAGATTTGCATTTCATTCCTCAGGATGCTATGGGTCATTTTATCTGCTAGATGGAAGATGCAACATGGGTGTATGTGATTTATACTCCTCCACACACTGTAATTTTTATGAAGTCACACAAGAATGCAAGTGTGAGCAAAATGAGCCTACAGGATTTTTCAATTTACCACCTAACTTTACAAAGAATATTATTTATTTCCAGCTTCCTTCTCCCACTAACTCTATATGGATAATGAGCACATCTTGCCTTGAATTAATACTAAATATTTGAGGAGGGCGCATTTATTTAACAACAATACTTAATGCTCACACTCCATCCAGCACTACTGGATAGGGTGGGGTCCAGCACTGCCCCGCTTTGGACACAAAGCAGCAAGGATGCTGAAGATGTACACAGGAGCCTTATTTTGTCTCCATAATTTCCCAAAAGAAGTTTCATGCATATACCACCAGCCCTGACTTATTTTTCTTAACTTCTTAGTATCACCTCTCATCTGCACTCCCGGGCAGGGTTCCGTCTTGAACAGCAGACCCTGAATTACCGATGCCGGGTATGCCCAGGGAGCCCAAACCCGAGATGCTGGGCAGGCTCCGGCGGCGCAGATCCCCGCCGCCCCGGGCTGCAGCCTGCCGGCGCAGGACAGCGCTGCGGCGGGAAGGGCTCCCAGCGGCGGCTGTCGCTCGCTTCTCCTTTCCAGCCCCGGCTGCCCGCAGGTTCCCGGGGCGGGGGCGGCCCCTCGCTCGGCCGCACGTCCCCGCCGCTCGGCGCTGCCCCGGCTCCGCAGCGCCCGGCGGCAGGTGCTGCCCCATCCCTCCGAGGGCCCCCGGCGGCCCGGCCCCGCTCCCGCCGCCGGCCGGGAGGGCTGCAGACCCCAGCCCGCCGCCAGGAGAAGTTTCCCGGCGGTGGAAGGTAGGAGGGTCCCGGCAGGAGGCCCGGGACGGGGCTGGGCGGGGCGCGGTGCACTTACAGCCGTTTCTCCTGCGGCTGCAGCTGCCGGTGCATGGCCAGGGAGAAGCCGAAGAGGCTGCCCGTCTCCCCGCTCCAGCTGATCACGTTGTCCGTGTCCAGGTTGAAGGCGCCGGCCAGCCCCGGCAGGAGGGGCAGGTAGAGGACGAGCAGGGCCGCCATCCGCTCTCGCCCGGCACGGGAACCTGCTGCCAGCGCCATCGCCGCTCCCCGCGCTGAGCGCGCCCGTCGTGCCCCGCCGGCTCCGCGCCGGGCCCGCCCCGCCCCGCCCTCCGTGGGTGCCCGGCCCCCGGCACAGCACAAAATGTCCCCGGGCTGGGCCCCTTCCCCTGGGAGGGGCAGCCGAGGGCGTCGCCCCGCCCGTGAGTCGCCCATCACCTCCCGGGGCCCCCAGGGGGCTCCCCGCCTGCCGCGCCCCGGCTCTCGGATGTCTTTGCCCTTCGCGACACAAAGTGAAGCCGTAGCGAGGGCGGGTCGCGGCCGCAGGTGAGGAGCGGGCTGCTGGGGAAAAGGGCAGAGAGCTCCCATGGCGGGGGCGGGACGTGTTTGAGACAGCAAACCGTGTGCCCTGAGGGGCTCATACCGGTCTGGCTGCTGCTCAGCGGCATCAGGTCGGTGCGGGTACCGACCACGGGCATAACACACTGCCCAAGTGTGCTAAGGTTGATACAGAACTGTGGCCATCATGACCCCGGTATTTAGTTTGTATTCCCCAAAAAACATATGCAAGAGAAGAAGAAAAAAGAAGGAGGGAAGAAAAAAAGTATCTCTCTTTTCTAGACTATTCACAGACCACATGAGAACAGAGACTGAAGACTACCTGAATCTCCTCCTCCAGCATTTCTTATCTCTGAACACATCTGAAACTTTCTTACTCCTACCTTTTAATTGTTCAAAAACAGTATGTGGGTTTGGATCCCAGGTCATTTTCTCTTATGCTTTCACCCATAACTCCAAAAGGTTATTTGCCAGCATACCTTATCAATTTAACCCACTCCAGAGAAAGAGATTTTGGTTTTTTTAACAGAATCTTGTTTTAGTGCTCTGGATTAGGGAAGCAGATGCAAATTTTTAAAACCTCACAAATTCCAAGCAGCATAACAATACTCAGTTGTTCTTTTCTACTTGTATCCAGGGTACAAAGAGAGAAGCTAAGATTCCAGAGAAACTGAGAAAAGACCAATTGAGACAGAGCACTCAAATATGTTGATACTCCAAATAACTCCTTCTGAAACAATACTCTGCTCCCGTGGAATTAATCCAAGCTACTTTTTCCAGAGTAATTATTCTAGGATAGCTCCGTGTATAGACACGTCTTTGGCTCAAGTCCAAAACACCCTTGATCAAAAGAGGGGAAGAAAACGCACCAGAAATGTGTTTTTAATGTGGAAACAAAACATTTTGTTAAATTAGGCTCCCAGATATTTATTGCTAATAGAGTCCTTCCCTGCTTGCTCCTCCATGCCCAACTCCTTCAAAGTCTTAATCCAGTGTTCAATCACTGCCACAGCAGAAAACTGTACTGGCATAAATACTGCCCTATTTTCACTAAAGGACCTGTAAGAGGGAAGGGTCCCAGACTAATTAAAAGCTATTTTACTACAATCCACGTATTTCACAGTAATTAGAAAAGATTTGAAAACAAGTTCTTTAAAACATTGATGTCTGTACCAAAGTCTTACCAGTCTGCCTTTTGGGACAATCAAAACTTGCGTGCTTCTAATACTCTTACAGTAACTATAGTTACTTTTGAAGTAATGCTTGTACTCAACAACTTGCAAGAAGTCACAGAAGTACCTTCATCCAGAGCTTCCTGAATGATACTGGCACATTAGGTTTGTCTGACTGCTCCCCCTCCCTCTAACCAGCACTGCCTAAGCATGTTGTACCTGTTTGTTCATATCCGCAGAGATTGCTGAGGAGGGGAGACAGAATTGTCTCATCTCCAGATGCAGTAACAAGCATTCCAGGACACAGCAACATTAATAATTGTCTCAAGGGACCACAGCAAGAACAACAAAAATAGAGTGTGTACAGGGTGGAGCAAAACTGCACACGAACAGCTTAGAATTACCTTGGATGGTCTCTCATCATTTCGTACTATTTTCATTTGCTCTAGATGAGGAGAGAGGGAAAAAAAAGGTTTTATAAATATGTCAGTTTCCTTCCTTTGCTCTTCCTCCAAAACAAACATGCTGTGAGTTATCTGTACCTAACACATACTTCAGGAATTCCTCTTTTGTACAATTCTGGTATAAAGGGGGACCATATGAAGATTAGGTATGATGGCTGGTTAAACGTGACACTCTGTTATGCATAATAACAGCAGTTCTAAGAAATGCAATGGCCAGATCAAAGCAGTTTCTCCTTTTGTACAAATGCTCTGCTCTTGCTGAGTTTTCAAGCTGTCTGCGTATCAATGGTGTGTTGATACTCAGCTGAAGGGCTACAAGATGTCTGCATGTTGTGTCTACACAATCAGCAAGCCTCAATGTGCAGACACACTTATTACTGCCAGCAATACTTTCCTCCTCTATACAATCATGTAGCTAATTACAAAGTTAAAAAAATTCATTTCTGGAAAACAAAAGAGGTGGAATGCAGAAGCTACAGCTTGGCAAGACATTTTAAGGGTTTCCCTAGAAGAAAGGCAAGGCACAATGTTTTCCATTTCTGAAATTCTATACTTTGTACCAACAATATACTACACAAAGAAATACACAATTTGTGGATGTTCAGCTGTGCAGCTTTAATGCAGCACATCAAATGGTCCTGAAAAGACAAAATATGTAAACATCCCCATCTCGCTTCCTTTTAAAAAATTGCTTGATTTCATAATTTCTTATTTCATGTAATTCCAGATGAAAAAAATGATACCACCAAAAAGGTTTGGTTTGGTTCACTATACAAGTTCCAAAGATACAGCGTTGTTTCAATTCAGAAATAGAAACTAGATTTAAATGTTAGTAGCCTGAATGGTTGGACAGTTTCTCCTGAACACAATATGCATACCATTTCTAGAACTACATGTTCTAGAAAAATTATTTACATTTATTGAACAGATGCATCCTAACAGCTACAAGAAACACCTGCATTTTTATGCAGCCAGGTTATCAGACTATCTTTGCCAGTATGTCCTCATAGCTTTCTTTGGTTCCCTAACAATTATTAGAAATAGCAAACAGCAGCAAAGGAGATAAAGGGGCTTAGAATGGTAAGTGAAATAAACTTCTCAGCACTATGTAAGCAAAATGTTTTGCTTTAAACAATCTAAATCCAGAGCATTAAAATAGTTATATTTACACACTTGGAATTCTGACTTACACAAACATAACACTGATTGTATTTTTGTCATTTATAACTGGATGAGGAATGTCTCAGTCTCTTTACTGTCTTTTCAGAAAGGTTACCAAAATGCAGCTTTTTTACTAGTTGCTCTATTTAAACTACAGTTCCAAATGAAGATGTTACTATGTTCCTATGATGTCTAAAACAATAAGATAACATTCTGACATCCTTTACTTGCTTGTAACATCAAAATATTTTACCTTGGTAGACATAGTATTACACAAATAAAAATATGAGCCAAAGGAAATATTTCAGTCCAGACCTGGAATTTTGGTGAATACTGAGACCAGTGTATACAGCAGTTCTTTCAGTCTTTTACATCTAGAGAATGTTTTTCCACCCAAGTTGTCAGGTACATTCCTTAAGTAGTTTTAGAATGACGAGAACTGTTTGGAGAGTAAACATCTATGTAAACATACACAGGGGCACTTTATGAGTGTAGCTGGGCAGAGATCAGAGAAGCACTGGTGACAAATGGGAATCAAGCAGCCATAGTTTGGATTTCTATGGAAGGAATTAAAGATACACTTTCCAAACTACTTATAACCAAGGGATAAAATTGCAATGATTTTGAATGTATGCCTGTGTTTTAATTCACTAGTAACATATACCACTATGTAAGATTTGCACCACCATAAGGTAAGATGAAGCTGAACCATCATTATAGATATCACAAGCACCTGTGCAGCCCCATTCTGTGGTTCTCTCTGAAAGACATTAATATCCCCAAAGCTCTTATATTACCCCAGCTGAAACTTGTATCCCTGACTGCATCCCAGACCCATATATACCATTCATGCTTTTCTTGATCTGCCATATGTCCTGCACATGAAACCTTGCCTCTCTTGGAGAACTTTTCACCAGTGTAGAGAGACATAACCTGATATCAGATGCAAACTTTTGTGTAGTTCTAGCCAACTCTCCCTCAATGTGCATCTTCCAACTAATTTGCACCAAAGCAGCCAACAATGGCTTATAAGGAAGCAGAGATCTAAAAGATAAAGGTATTTCTTGGGTAGGTGTTGGCAGAGAGGGAAGAGAGAAGGCTTACAAGAAAGTTATTCACAGGATCTCCCTGGAGATTTTCCTCAGGAATTTTGAAAGCAAGACAAACCTTCACAGGACATATTTTAACCCCATCAAGAGCCAGAAAGGATTATTGTTCAGGACTCTTTCACCCTGCTAGCTCACAGAGACCTGACTAAAGAGTCTTTGGCCATCACCCAGAACACAATTCCACACAACCTTGATAGCACTTACCTCCAAGAGCTGCACTGGGTACTGCTGCTGGACAGGACCTGGCCCTGGGACAGAACCTGCAAGGCACAAGATCAGGAACTCCAGTCACTTGAGGCCTCTGGTGTCTAGGTCACAATCTGGCTTATTGTAACAGCACAGCTGAGACCCCGAGCGCCTCTGGCAGCAAACTCGTGGGGAAACAGCTGCTTGGTCATTTGCACACTTGTTACACCTGTTCTCCCATCAGGTCCTGGATCACACCCAGCTCTGAGGCCAGCCAGCTGGCTCTTTGGTTTCCATGGGAGAGGTAAAGCTCCGTCAGATTGCACAGAGGCTTCCAGTGATTCACAAGAACCATGCAAAGAAATCCAACTTTTTTTTTTCTAATTGATTTAATTTTTTCTATAGCCACTGTCTTTAAAAATTCTACCATTTTGGTACTACAGCCAGGTCATTTGCATGTGCCAACCAAACTGTGTCTGCCACTGATTCAACAGGACCTGTGCTCAAGACATGTTTAAACGTGGTTTCAGACAGCTGCAGACAAAGCCTGCAAGGGCTGCTGGTCTAAAGCTAGCAGTCTCAGAAAGATACTTCCTCTACTTCCTTTACTTTTTCTTTGCTAATAGAAAACATGTCTTCCTTTTT